ACGAGTCTATCTCGTTCCCTTTAGGTCATTTAGAGTTTCAGTTATTGAATCTTATTGCGAAATTTTTGAGTGACTGGGATCACAGAATGAACTGAACTTGGTGTAACCTTGGTTACACCAAGTTCAGTTAGTTTCACTATGGTAATGCGAACGCGATAGGGTCCTCGGCTTTCGGTGTTTTAGACTTTATTAATTAGGCCCAAACCAAGGCGGACGAAAAATAACGACATTGCTTTGATGCAGTGCAGTCAGGCGTCTTTGAAGTCATCACTAATAGCACCAAAGTTCGAAGAACTGCGTGCGTGTCGTCAGCTTTCAATGGTATAGTGCGCAAGCATTCCAAATTACAATGCAGCCAGTCCAGCGTTCTCATCTTTATTAATTAAATTTTAGCTATCAGAAATCATGCGCTCCACGTCGGCAGCCAACGCGACACCAACTCAGCGCAGTGTATGCTACCTCTAGGCGACTGAATCGAACCATTTTCCATTCATATTTAGACACAGCTCCACATCAATGGCTTCAAACCGTGTTCTTAGAATTGCGTTTTAAAAACATCAATCTTATTTGGCACTGTGGGAATTGTACCCGCGGAGGAGAGCTCTTCATTATCTCGGCCGTGATGCAAAGTCAAAATAGTCACTTAGCTTGACTTTAGCATCAGCACTTCATTGCTAAAACTGATGCGCAACGTTCATCTTCGAGATCCTGAAAGAAAAGCAGCGTAGTTTCGGTAGGAAATCTGCAAGCAACCAAAGTATTTCGAGCGCATCCATTTACCATGCGCCACATCAGTTTCTTACGCAGCACTTAGCAAAGTGGATCTACGCGTTTAAAAGTCCGCAGTCGACTCTACAAAAACATCTGCATGATCTCTCATTTTGGAACCTCAAAAAGTCCCCAGTTTGAAACGAAGAACTTGAGTAGGGTAATAATCCGGTCTTAAGTTGTAGTAAAAGTTAGAGAGCAGGGAATTATTACGCAGGCGCTGTTTTGCTATAATCATGTGATTTAGTTGGAGCAAACTGTGATTTAGGAGAAACTTCAAAGTCAGAACTTTAGCCATCAAAATTTTCGCTTCATTTGACTTACCTTACAATAAGTAAGGTCGTACATCTATCGCAAATTTTTCTGGTATTTTCAAGGTGACGAAAGAGTATCTTGTCTTTGTGCTGTTGATCAATGAATTGCTATTTCCGTAGTCTAATTTTCGTTCATAATGACTTT